GTTCTTCCCGTGCAAAATACAGAATGAACCAGTAACCCCATCACTAATATATCTGTAAATTAACAAATAGAGATTGTGGATAAAAATGACAGAGATTTTACCATGATGCGCAAATTATTCAAGTCGATGGACGGTTCCTCTTCCCCCTCTTGTCTTCGTCGGAGAAAATCAGAAGTGGGATTTGAAAGCTTCTTATCAAAGCAGTCGACTCCAGATGAAACAATGTCGCTTGTCTCCTTCAATGGGATTGTTACCCCGAGCAAAGATAAGAGGGGCCGGAGGAAACTCGAGGTGGCACGTTGGCTCTAGCATGTCGAGTGGCTAATCGGAACGTGAAGAAAAAGGGGAGAGAAACTTTTGGAGTCTTGAACAATGTTAGGAAGAATCACCATTAGGTGAAGAGGAGAGCTTTGAATTTTGATTTACCGGATTCAATGGAAAGATTGTAGGTTTAATGTGATCGGGAAAATATTAGATGCCTCTTCACGTTAATTTAAATTGCTGAAATTGGGGGATAATGGATTGTTGATAAATCTTGGAGCTAAAATTGAGGAGTTCAACTGGGATTGACTGACTGAAGAGTCTGTTATCTCCCCAAAATTGAGGGATTATTTATTTTTTAATTTTCGGTCATTCAAAAGTAGGATTCTGAAAAATAGGATTTCTGTTAAGGCTAAAATCTGTTGTGCATAGGAGAAGCCATGTGTCTCATTTTCCTTGCATCGGATTTGTATTGTAAACGTCTGTAAACGTTTGGAGGGAAAATTTTGATTCGAGTGCTGACACGTGTCCTTTGTGTTTGTTGCTTTATGTAAGTACTATAGATATATAATACTCGGTTCTCCTCCAATGTGTTATACAAAATACGTGAAATGCATTATTATTAAATAGATATGAAAACAATAGAAAGTAGCCGATCAATTATGAATTATGAAATAGAATTTAAAGAAAATTGAGAGAAATAAATAATATGTATATTATGCAACAGTCAAAATGAATTTTTTTAAAAAACAATTGTGAAAATAAAGTGACATTAATAAAGAGTGAATTTAGTAATCAAAGCTAACCTTAATTGAATTAACTTCTATTTTGTAAATAATACTGATCGATGTTAATCTTGTTGAATAGTTGAAAAATGGACCAATGTAAATACATTTCAACATTTAACCTTATGTTGTGCCTAACCTTTTCCACCTAATTATTTAGAGGAAATCATACAATTTGGTGCCGACTCTACTGCACAGTCACCTCATTTCAGGCCAGATGATGAGGATGTCCGGGAACAAGAAGAATCTATGAAATAATCTGCAACACAAGACAAACTTGACCCTGAAGTAGCACTCCAACTACGAGGCTTTGCTAAGGGCCCGTTTGATAGAACTTAATTTGGATCTGAAGCCCGAAATATGAAGACTGAACCATAAGTAATTAACTGATTAAGTTTGTCTTATTTGATAAAAATCAAAATCTGAGATTTGAATAAAATGTCTAAAATCCAAAATCTGAACACTGAATATAAAGTATCTTTCATAATAATTTTATCTTAAAAAAATAATGTATATGAAACTACGATCATGAAAATAATAGTATTATTATAAAATTATGCATTAAGAATAGTTAAATTTTATTATGTAATTGTTTTTCCAGGTAATAATGATATCGTATGTTTATCATTATAAAAAATGTCATATATTTATAGTGAATATATATTTACCATGAACTTTAGTCGCATTTAAATTTTTATATTAAAATAAATATATGAAAATATAAAAAAAAATTATATGAGATTATATTATAAAACAACGTCAATCAATTAAATATTTAATCAATTAATTTTAAGTGCTGCATGAGTTTATCAAACAGGGCTGTCGTATACCAAAACCTCATGTATATGCTGTCATCGATTTTGCTTCTGCATCTTTTGCTGTACATATAACAAAAGAGAACCCTTTGATGCTATCAAGGTAAAACATTGATTTTCAATGACAAACATGCTGAAGAAAATTAAAGAAAGAGAATGAGAAAACGGCGATTCTCTTCTGCTGTTGTTAGGGATTGTTAAATACGTACAAAACCGGAGTATTCATTTCAGTAATCTTGGCTAACTAGTTCTATATATGGTAACTATCAAAAATTATAATGAATTGCATATATATATATATAAATATATATATATATATATATATATATATATATATATATATATACGGCTAGAATACCCCCATGTCCCCCGCGAGTAAGAGAATGAGGATTCTCAATGCCTAACTTATCGGGAAAGTAATCAAACTTAGATTTGCCTAAAGTCTTAGTGAAAATATCTTCTAGTTGGATATGAGTGTGACATAATTCGGAAGAATAGTGCCCTTGATCACCACATCACAAGGATTGTCGATCTCGATATGTTTCGTACGTTTATGAAAGATTGGATGAGCCACAATTAGTAGAGCAGCCTGACTATCACAATGAATTGACGAATAGGTTGAGGATGTGGATCACCAAGGAAATGTGACAAACCCCTTAACCATTTCAAATCACAAAATATAGTAGCCATAGAGCGATACTCCGCTCAGCAGATGAACGAGCAACCGTTTGTTGCTTCTTAATCTTCGAGGAGATAGGAAATTGACCTCACTGGACAAACCAGCACATAAGAGACCGACACGTCAAAGGGAAACTATCCCAGTCAGAGTCACACAAACCAATCAATTGCAAATCAGAGTTAGCTCGAAGAAGTATACCTTTCCTTGGATTACCTTTTAAATAACACACAACTCGAAGTGCAGCATCCAAATCTGCCTGCATCGGTTTTTGCTTAAATTGAGCAACCATATAAGCACAATGTGATAACTCATAGAGCGTGATAGCGAGATATATCAACCGACCTACCAAGCGATGATAACATTCAGGATTGGACAGAGGAGTATTAGTAACCAGCGGAAAGTGATGATTTCGCTCCATGGGAAATCCAACAAGCTTAGCACCCAAAAGACCCACCTCAGAAATAATATGTAAGGCGTACTTACGGTGACAAAGAAAAATGTCAAAGAAATTGAGCCACCCCAATGCCCAAAAAATATTTAAGAGTGCAAAGATCCTTCAAGCGGAAACATTTGCTCAAGTATGCCTTGAAGGTCTGGATAGCAGTGCTATCACTGTCAAAAATAATAAGATCATCCACATAGATGAGAAAATTACTCTGCATAGCTGCACGATTGAAGGTAAATAGAGAATAATCATAAAAAGATTGCTAAAAAACCTTACCGGCGAATTGCACTTGCCAACTTGGCAAACCAACACCTTGGAGCATAGCGTAAACCATGAAGAGAATGATGAAGATGACAAATAGACCCGGAAGAGGGAGATGAAAACCCAAGAGGTAACTTCATGTAAACTTCTTCATCTAATTCACCATAAAGAAAAGCGTTCTAAACATCCACCGGATGAAGATCCCAACCTTTGGCAGCTGCCACTGAGTAGAGTACGAACAGTCACCATCTTTGCTACTGGAGCGAAGGTTTTATTACAATCAAGACCCTCAATCTGGTTGTTGCCCAACATGACTAGATGAGCTTTGTAACGCTCAACAGATCCATCAGAATAATATTTAATTTTGAACACCAATTTGCACTAGCTAGCATGTTTACCAGGAGGGAGAGAAGCACTTGTCAAAGTGCCATTTGTTTCCAAAGCTTAATTCCTTGTTTCATAGCGGCGTGCCACCAAGCACCTTTAACTGCTTCTGAAAAAGTGTAAGATTCAACTCCTGCAGTAATAGTAGCCAAAAATGCTCGATGTGATGGAGAGAAAAAAGCACAAAAAACATAGTTGTGTATAAGATCGAGCACACCTGAGGAAACTAATGAAGAAGATGAGTAGAGAGAAGGGGGGGGGGGGCTTAATGAAGAACAAACAATATGAGGAAGGGAGGTTTTACTCTTTTTTAGGTTACCGTCTTTTGATATTTGCGGCTCATAAGGGAGAGTGTGGCTGCTGGGCATGGGAATAGAAAAGAAAAAAATAGATTTTAAAAAAAGAAATAAATAAATTTCACGCATTTTTTTGGAAATTTGTTTCCTTAAAGAAAGTGAAAATTGGAAAATTTATGTCAACCAGTTCGTACCGATTCTAAGTTTGACAGTGCGTCTTGACCGGTTGGATATAGTTCTAGTTTTTGCCTATGACCTAATCATTCTATAGATTGGTTCCGGATTTAATCGGTTGTACTAAGCAGTCTGGTCTGTGTCTGACAACACTGCTCCAAACCTGTTTTATTTCTCTTTATGTATTTCTCTTTAAATTTTTTTTTGTGCTTATCTAATGTTTCTTTTTTATATTCATTACCTCCGAAAACTTCCTTTTAGTTCACGAAATCAAGTTTATGAAAGGCTAGATCGAAGATTTCAGAAGAAGAAATTACGGTTGGAAATTGGGAACGACCAAAAAAGAAAGAAAGCTAAGTCAGATTTTCAATTCATACACAATTATCTGATCATCTTCTTACAAACCCAATGCCAACTATTTATACTCCAAATATTTTCTAATACGACAATTAATTAAGTCTTGCAATATGAAATTAGGGCAATTAAGTTCCTCAATTCGTGGCAGGGGGTGAATGATAAAGTTATTACTACTATATTCCGACAGGTTATTGGTTTGAATAAGTCCGTCCGCTCTAATTAAGAACTTGGTTGGGATTTCATAATGTCAGAAAATATATTTAAATATATGATAATTTTTTGCAAATAAATTTGACCTTTTAGTTTGTATCAAATTGACTTATAATGCAATATCCGTCCTCCTCTCATCTTTTCTTTTCATTTTTTTCTGTTTGTGTGTCACCTTTATTTATTCAATGGACGTCCAACGTTTGTTCGTCTTTTCTTCTCTTTTAATCTTTTTCTTCCCCGTAATACAGAAAATGTGGTGTGAAAATGTAGAAATCTTGAAAATTGTTGGGGATGAAGAAGACAACCCCGGGGTTTTTTTTCTTTGTTTTTTTCGACAACAATGGTCAAAAGGGCGATAACTGTATGCAATATTTCTTAGAATGGACTAACTGAAAGAAACTTATCTTGTAGTATAATAAGCATAATTTTCATAGTTAATTGGCAGTCTAGCAGGAAGTACTCCAGACTCATAATCCAAGCAAAAGCGGAAATAGGGATACATAGAGTATAATCTTATTTCAATAATTCATAATTCCCATAAACCAGTAGTATGTAGTAGGGATTTTGATGGCCGGGATGATAATTTTATACTACTTGTTCAACCACGAGTTGGTCCTCTGTCCGAGGCTTGGATTAGGATTGTACATTTTGGAGAGGTAAAATCCATCATCTCTGACCAGCCAATAACAGTATAAATCATCATTAGAAATTGCATCACCGCAGCCGCCGGAAAGACCAACCTTCAGATCATAGACGGCAAAACCTTGCGTCTTTGTGGTCCAGTTGAAGCTGCAGAGGAATTTAGTCCACGGATGCGCGAAGAAATCCCACCTGTAGAGCTCTCCCGAATGGAGATCTCTATATCCAAGCTCATCATCTCCCGAAAAACAATGGAGGACCAAGGGAGGACTATTGTTTGGAAGTGCGGATATAATCGACACATCGACTTGCCTCAATGGTGTAGGAACTGGAAACGGGAACCTCCCGAACCTGTTTAGGCCGGCCGGGGACTCGTGGAGGCGGCTTAGGGTGGTAGTAGTTGAAGCTGTGGTAGCCGAAGCTGAAATGAGAAAAGCTAGAAAAGTAAGAAGTAATAATGCAAAATGAAGAATCTTCATTGTGGTGTTTGATTTGCTTGATTGAATTTGTATTTCTGAAATTGGGTTAATTAGAGGACCCCTATATATAGGAGGGAGAGATTGGACAGAAATTAGTGGAGAGCGGCAATTACCCAACTAGCCCTAGACTTTTTGGCCAGATTTTTCACACAAAAGGTGATAAATTTCAAAGAGTTGAGACATAGTGACCTGCATGTTTTCTGCAGGAATTCCCCTACGAGCTAAACAATAAAAGAACAAATCATCTATCTTGTTCTTAAAATACCCAGCCGAGATCGTGCCCTTGCGAACTCACTTTATAACAACTCACTTTATTCAGGAAATTAGAGTTCAGGAAATTTTCGTTTATGTTCGGATAAACATATATATATATATAGATATATATACTAGTGATGTCTGGTCGCGCAATGCGCGACCTTGGCCCAGTATATCTGTAGATTTTAAAAATGTTTGTATTTGAAGAAAAAAATTATTTTGTATTTGGCCCGATATATTTTAGAAATGTTTGAAGAATTTAGAAATATTTTATAAGTGTGATCATAGATATCTTTGTATTTGGCAAAAAAAAAAAAATTATTTAGTCCGGTACGTTTTAGAAATGTTTGAAGATTTTAGAAATATTTTATAAGTGTGATCATAGATATCTTTGTATTTGGCAAAAAAAAAAAATTATTTAGTCCGGTACGTTTTAGAAATGTTTGAAGATTTTAGAAATATTTTATAAATGTTACTTATTAAATATAAATAAACTTGATCAAATATATGTCTTGAAGTAAATGTTACACAAAATATAAAAGTATCCTAATAAGTTTAAAAAGTAGTAAGATGATTTATTGATGTTCTCCGTTTGTCGTGTCAAATCAATACTTAGTTTTGGACATTTATAATAGTTTTATAGTAAGCTTCTTTCGAATGGTATATGTTTAATTCTTGGAACTGTTTCTTCCAAAGGTTTATAGGTAGTAAAATATCAAAAATATAATTTTTAAACTGGTTGATCACAAATATGAGAATGAAAATTAATGTAAATTTGCATAGGTTTCAATTTATAGCAAAAAAGACCTCACCTCACCATTGCAAATAAAAACCAAATCCAAAAAAGTATATTCTTAAAACCCCGACTACACACAAAAAAAAAATGCGCTTCATTTGCAAAATAATAATAATAATAATAATAATAATAATAATAATAATAATAATAATAATTGGTCAACTAGAAGTATGAAACAAAATCAAAACCAATTAAACAAAGAAAAAAAACATTCACAACTGACCATATACGAAAAAAAAAACTGAGACTCCATAATTAAAAAAGAAAACCACTCTAATTGAATGAAATATAAAAAAAAAAAAATTAAAAGAACCACACTTAGTAACAAAAACCCAATTGATCAATTCAATCCAAACAGAACTAAAATCATACAAAAATTATAGTCTAACTAACCATATAAGAAATCACATCATATTACCTGACAATGGGTGGACGCATAAAAATAATAGTAATAACTCTATTCTTAAATGGGAAAAACAAAAAACAAATAAAAGCTGTACAAATGATTTGTGGATATAAAATTATTTAAATTTTAATATCTGTAATGGCACCACCACAACGGACGAAGCAAGATTAATGAGAAATAATTTTTTTCCTTTGTGTTAACATAAAGAGGTAAAAAGAAGATTTTTTGAAGTCAAAATTTTATCCGATTAGCAAGTAGTTGATCATCACTAATGAAAAGATTGAACATGCCAATAGGAAAAGAGTATTTTTCACCACATATTCTCAATTGATGATTGATGCGGAATTTTTTTGTTTGTTATTGTGGAGAAGTGATTTATTAAAGAGTCGATTGTCGTGGAGATGGGGATGCGAATTTGGATTTTTTATGAAACCGTGATTTTTTTTTTAGCGAAAATAGGAGGTGGTGGTGGATTTGGACTGCATTTGTCTTTTAAGTCTAGAAAACTGATGTGTAAATAAAAATTTATTTTAAAAATATGATGTGGAAATGCCACATGGCAAATGGTGGTGCTTTCTCTTAAGTGCAGTTTTTGTTTCTAATGTAGTAAGATATAGGGCTGTGCACGGTCCGGATAGTTTGGTTTTTAGCTAAAACCGATAAATCAATATGTTAGAACGGTTTGAAAAATTTTGATTCTGAAACCAAACCGTTATGCAGTGAGAAATCCTACCAAACCAATCCGTTAGTAACGGTCCGGTTTCTACAGTTTTAAAGTTTAGTTTCACTTTGGGATTTTTTTTCTTTGGCCAAAGCTTCGACCCTTTGTTTTTCCTTTTGGGCAAAAATAGAGTTTTTTTTAGTTGTAACAAAAAGAATATAACTTTTTTTACTACTAATTATAATTTAACACTACACAAATCTCTAATTAAAACTAAACAACATCCAAAATGTTGACAAAAAAGAAGAAATTAAAAAATAATTAAACTTCAAATTTCATACAAAAAAAATCCTAAAAATAAAACAAAACAAAAATGGAAACAATAGGGCAATGAGATTCGAAGATGGGAAAATGGAATTAGACCTGAAGAAATTTTCATGAGTTAACCAGTTCATCCACATTAACAAAAAAAAAAAACAATTTTATTGATAATAAAAAAAATAGGGCAATGAAAATACTTAACCCTATACCAAATAAAATTTTTGAACTTAAAGTAAAAATTAATACTTGTTTAATCTATCAAACCGACGAATTTGAACTTTCTTTTTAGCCTTGCTTTCTTCGATCGATTGTGGTATGTGGGAGCAGCACTTTTGATTATTTATTCACATTTAAAAATATATAATAATTATAATATATATATGTATAAAATTTTATAAACGATCCGGTTTAGTTTGAATGACGGTTTTAGAATACCAAACCGTAAACCAAACCGTTATTTCAGGTTTGCAAATATTGAATTTACTGATTTCAAAATAAAGTTATAAAATCGAACCAAAAACCAAACCACGGCTTGGATTGACCAGTTTGACCCAAACCAAGCACGCCCCTATGTATAAGTATATATATATATATATATATATATATATACATATATAATTCTCGGTTCTCCTCCCGTGTGTTATACAAAATACGTGAAATGCATTATTATTAATTAGATATGAAAACAATAAAAAATAGCTGATCAATTATGGATGATGAAATAGAATTTAAAGAAAAACGGGAGAAATAAAAGATATGTATATTATGCAACAGTTAAAATGAATTTTTTTTAAAAAACAAGTAAAAATAAAATGATATTAATAAATAGTGAATTTAGTAATCAAATTCAACCTTAATTGAATTAATTACTATTATGTAAATAATGCTGATCGATGTTAATTTTGTTGAACAATAAAAAATGGACCAATGTACTAACGTTTCAACATTTAACCTTGTGTTGTGCCTAACCTTTTCCACCTAATTATTTAGAGGAAATCATACAATTTGGTGCCGACTCTACTGCACAGTCACCTCATTTCAGGCCAGATGATGAGGATGTACGAGAAGAGAAAGAATCTATGAAACAATCAGCAACACAAGGCAAAATTGACCCTGAAGTACCAGTCCAACTACGAGGCTTTGCTAAGGGCTCGTTTGATAAAACTTAATTTGGATCTGAATTCTGAAATATGAAGACTGAATCATAAATAACGAACTCATTAAATTTGTCTTATTTGATAAAAACAAAAATCTGAGATTTGAATAAAATGTCTAAAATATAAAATCTGAACACTGAAATTTGAAGTATCTTTAATAATAATTTTATCTTAAAAAAATTGATGTATATGAAGCTACGATGATAAAAATAATAGTATTATTATAAAATTATGCATTGCAAATAGTTAAATTTTATTATGTAATTGTTTTTCCAGTTAATAATAATACCGTATGTTTATCATTATAAAAAATGTCATACATTTATAGTGAATACATATTTACCATGAACTTTATTCGCATTTTTATTTTTATATTAAAATAAATACATAAAAATATAAAAATAATTTATATGAGATTATCTCATCAACCAGTACCAATCAATTAAACATTTAATAAATTAAGTTTAAGTGGTGCATGCGTTTGTCAAACAGGGAAGTCGTATGCCAAAACTACATGTATATGCTGTCATCGGTTTGGCTTTTGCATCTTTTGCTCTACATGTAAGAAAAAAGAACACTTTGATGCTGTCAAAGTAAAACATTGATTTTAAATGACAAACATGCTGAAGAAAATTAAAGAAAGAGAATGAGAAAACGACGATTCTCTTCTGCTGTTGTTAGGGATTGTTAAATACGTACAAAACCGGAGTATTCATCTCAGTAATCTCGGCTAACTAGTTCTATATATGGTAACTATCAAAAATTATAATGAATTGCATATATATATATATACATATATATATATATATATATATATATATATATATATACGGCTAGAATACCCCCTGTCCCTCCCCCGCGAGTAAGAGAATGAGGATTCTCAATGCCTAACTTATCGGGAAAGTAATCAAACTTTGATTTGCCTAAAGTCTTAGTGAAAATATCTGCTAGTTGGATATGAGTGTGACATAATTCGGAAGAATAGTGCCCTTGATCACCACATCACAAGGATTGTCGATCTCGATGTGTTTTGTACGTTTATGAAAGATTGGATGAGCCACAATTAGTAGAGCAGCCTGACTATCACAATGAATTGACGAATAGGTTGAGGATGTGGATCACCAAGGAAATGTGACAAACCCCTTAACCATTTCAAATCACAAAATATAGTAGCCATAGAGCGATACTCCGCTCAGCAGATGAACGAGCAACCGTTTGTTGCTTCTTAATCTTCGAGGAGATAGGAAATTGACCTCACTGGACAAACCAGCACATAAGAGACCGACACGTCAAAGGGAAACTATCCCAGTCAGAGTCACACAAACCAATCAATTGCAAATCAGAGTTAGCTCGAAGAAGTATACCTTGCCTTGGATTACCTTTTAAATAACACACAACTCGAAGTGCAGCATCCAAATCTGCCTGCATCAG